CATCGAAGAATTTGTGAAGGAACTCCGTTTCCTTTCCTTTTCAATCATATCGAAAAAGAAAGTCTGCTTTGAGCTGAATAGAGATGTGTAGGATAGATTAGAGGATGTGTAATTCATACTTTGATTAAATACTACAGAACGGTATTTCATAGGATATGTACCTGTCAACACGGTATTCGTCAAAATATAGCAATTAAAGCTGCCACCAAGTTTCATTCCATTTCTCCTAAAGCACTTTTCAGCTCTTAAGCATGCGCGCTGATAAAAGAAATACACAAATTTCATTTGAAGCAGAGTACCATGTTTAACCACTGAAGAGGCTTGGTAATTAGCTTCGTAATTGAGCCTGAAGCAAAACCATTATTCTCTTGAAAATTTTGGATGCTTTCGTGCTAAAATGTTTCTTTCGTGTTATTAAAATCAGTGATGAAGGCCACTCTGTCCAAATACTAGCAATCAATGTCTGCAGGGGATCGGAATTTTTAAACCTTTCTGCAGTCTCCTGCATTGAATCTTAAAATCTAGCAGTGGTCGGGAAGCTCTCTTAATGTTTTTTTTGCAGATACTCTCCCATGTCTCTATGTAGTATTGATAGTGATAATATACGATCAGTGAGAAATCTTCATGCTGGCGTGTTTCCAGTCCAGTATTCTGACGCCTACTTCCAAAAGGTCTGACTTTTTCTGACCGTTCAACTCTAACTACTCAAATATTTGTTTTAGGTACAAAACAATGACTTATGTGCTGCCATAGTAGTAGATGGAGAGTGTTTGGGTGTAGTTTGCTGTAAGACTGAGATTGTTGGCTGCACCAAGACGCTTTACATCATGTCACTAGCAGGTAAGTTTGGAATTTGTTCCGTCTTTGGTATTGTACCCTTACGTTCTTTGTAGTCCATCCACTATATCGATGCCGTGGGATAGGAAGCAGGCTTCTAGATTTTGCCATGAGTAAAGCCGAAAGTCATCATGTGTCAATAGTAAGACTACACGTACAAGTAAGCATCACTAAAATTGACTTAGAACAGAAGCTGTTCAGTCTTCTCAGTAGATTTCGGTAACTTTATTTTGCATTTTACATAGAAAATTGATC